TAAAATTTAAGTATTCTATGTCGCTGAAATACTTCTGTTGGAGAGTGGGAATCTTCTGATCACACAGGAGTCTTGAAAACTAACTTAAAGCACCTGAAACACACCTAAAATCCTTTGCAGTTACCTAAGGAGATGATTATAAGATGAACTTTAATCTAATCTCCATTTAGCAAAAATGTTTTTCGTCTTGTGTATGCTTGATATTAAACGTGAATGTTACTATCTGCTCTAAAAGGAGGAGTTAACAAAAAAATGAAGGGAGTAGAAGTGAACATCTTGCACCTGTCTGTTGATAAAGCATCACTTCTCTGAGGAAGAAAGTGATGGAGATGGAAGCTGTTCTGCATGATGTTCTGGTCTAGCCTTTTTCTTCTTTCTTTTTCTTCTTTCTTTTTCTTCTTTCTTTTTCTTCTTTCTTTTTCTTCTTTCTTTTTCTTCTTTCTTTTTCTTCTTTCTTTTTCTTCTTTCTTTTTCCTCTTCTTTTTCCTCTTTCTGTTTCCATTTTTCCACTTTTCCCTTTTTCCTTTTTCAATTTTTAATTTTTCATCTTTTTCTTTACACTGGCTTGTCTTTGAACTTCAAATGAGTGCTGCAATTCTTTTATTATTTTTTTATATATATTTCACTGCTTTGTAACAGGAATTTGTGCATGACACAGTTGCAGATTATCAGATACTATTGATTTGCCAGTATTTTGTTTTTAAGATATGCATTTCATTACTTACTCCTGCAAATAAATGAGCAGTCTAGCTTGGTGCCAGTGACTGCTGAAGTGGCAGAGCTAGTGTATATGCAGCTTTAAAAAGGAAAAGTAAATTTACTGCTTGGGGTGAGCTCCTCTAATCCAGTGTTCCCTCTGGCTGCAGACTTGGCAGTATGTCTCAGCTAACCCTGAGGAAGATATTTTTGTCTACAGAGAAAATATTTTTAAGAGCTTTGGTTTTCAATACTCTACCATATATGGGAGGGATTTTTTAGCATTTGATGTTAATTCTGTACCACGTTAGGAAGGAATATTCAGCAGCATAAGGCAATGAAATATGTTTGCAAAAGCGAAGAAATAGACATAAGTTATAGGGGAGGTTTTCAGAAGTACCAGAGGTACTTTGCCTTATACTTCCTTTGGTTTTCAGACGCTGACATAATTTTTAAATAGTAGTCTAGTTGAATGTGTGACTCTTTAAACCCAGGCTAGGCAATCATCAACAGAATAATATTTCATCAACAAGTCTTCAAGTACTTTACAGATTTGATGAGCATTTTTAACTTGGTGAAATATTTTGAGAAACAAAGTCACGGGAAGCCTGAGCCACACATGAAGCTCACACAGGATAAATGTGCTTATTGTTCATGCTTCACATGTGCATGCATATCTGATGTTGGGGAAGAGGCAACTGCATTGCAAATAATGAATGGATACAAGTTAACATGCTGAAAACTTCTCCCTTCCGTAAATATTTTGGCTGAGTTTCATACAGATAATTCTGGATAAATTAATCTCATTATAAAACTATTAAACAAGTAGATGTTTGCAATGTTAAACATGTAGCACATAAAGAGCAGCGAAGAGGGAAAAAGTATGCACTTCTGGAAGACTGCTAATATTTTGTGTTGGATACAATTATTAATGGACATCATCACATGGACTAATCTCTTACATTTTGTCTGGCAGACAAGAATAGAAATTCTTGGGTCCCTGCAGAGTTCCTGAATAGATAGTGAAGCCGCTTTTAGATCACTAAAGCAAATCAGGTGGGCTTGAGTGTTTCAAGTGTTCAACAAAAATGTACATTTGCAATCATAATTTGTTGTAGTTTATCAGCATCAAGGAACTGAACAATAGTAGGTTCATCTGTGTAGTCAATGTTAGTTTATGTGATAAAAACTCACCTGCACACCCACAAAGGAGCTCAGAGAAACAGTGACAGGAGGACAATCCCAAATAATGGCCTGCCCTGTCAGGCTACTCACAGTCCCACCACAGGAGCCATCTAAAGCCCATCTCCCCAAGCCTGGAGGAGCACAGGGGCACAAGAGCAGGCAGAAACCCAGATTAAGGACTCCCAAGGAACAAAGGGAGGCACAAGGGCCTCCTTGTCTAGGCCTCTCCTAAGGCTGTCCCAGGAGAGAGCCTCAGATCTGGAGTCCAGGTATGAAATCTATCTAGGAGCAGAAAGTAGGGAGAGAACAGAGTCATGCAAGACCCAGAAGAAAGATTTTTTATTATTATTTTTTATTTTTCAAGGTACTGTCAGAAACGTGTCTCACCAGATAATCCTCACCTCCCCTTTCTCCTTTGTTTTCTGCAGCACCTGCTAAGGATGCTTATTTGTCTTTTCCTGATTTTACGCCAGTATGTCGGGCTTACAAAAGAATATCTAGGCACTAACCATACTGAGCTGGACTTGCATTTTAAACAGCTGTTTTAATTGTGAATTATTGCCCAACATTATATTCTATTATTGCCTGCAGACCTTAGCTGATTCAGGTCTCCTTTGCTTCAGTGTTAAAACAATACCTAGGAAGACAGAAATCTCAGTCCTCAAAAATCTGTGATGCCAAAACCATAGAGAATTGTTTATGTGTGTGTACATATTTGCATACATTTTGTTTTCATATATGCATAATTTTTGTATAGATGATTTCACATATCCTCATTTGTTCCCTCAGTAACAGCTATGCAATAATAACTGCTTATAGTTTGCAAGTAAATTGAGCAGATTATCAGTAATCCATCCTCCTTTACTGTTTTTCAATTCTGCATTGTCTATACAGGGCTTTTTGGTGTTATTTGACCTTCAAGAATCTGGGTGAATATAATTAGTATTTGCTGGAAATTTGATGGAGCTATGAAAAAGGAATACAAACTGTAATAAGCCTCTTCAACTGTGTAAGGCCATGCAGATTGGGAAGCAGTTTGAAAACTGCTTGTTTTGAGGCAGTATGCAGATTCTTCTGATCCTCATTCAGAAATTATTCCCTTGACCCAATGGGAGCCTGGCCTGCACAAAGATGGGAAGATGGAGTTCATTATTCATAAATACATGCTTGCCTACACATCTTATTTTATTAGAAATTTTGCACAACTCCATATGGTAAATTTGTGTGGTTATGTCTTAACTGAGGGCTAATTGACTCATTATTTTGTACAGATACTGAGAATGTTGTTGCAGGTATAGACTTTCATGTGGGCTTCTATAAATAAGGGTAAAAGTAGTATGCATATATGTGTATAGTCAGTTACAACATCTGTTTTAGCTATCTTGCATGAAGCTATGTCAACACATTGCTAGATAATGAGTCCACTAAGTACAAAATTCTGACTCATTTCAGTTACATTAAAATTCATTTAAAGCAGAATTTCTTGAAGTTAAAGTGACAAAATACTTGTAATCAGTTTTGTAATTTTCTTCCTTTTCTCCCACTTCAATTTCTCTATCCTGAAACTCAGGAAGGTAGCTCTTGAAAAAATACAAAACATCAGTGTTTGAATAAAAGTTGTGACAGTATAACTAAATTGTTTGCCTGTTAGCTTGTAGTAATCAAAGTGTGCTGTGAAAGTCTCCCTGTATTCAGATAAGAACATAACCTCAGTACCAACACATCATCAAATCTCCTTGGAATTACTTTTGGCGTATGCAGGGGAGGCAGGACTAGAAGAGCTGATTTTAATTACCATTCCTGTTCTATCCTTATGTAATTAAATCAAATGTGCATATTTGATAGCTATTGTCTTTGTTTCATGTGTACAACACCCATAATTAATTGTAGGTAATTTGTTGCTTTTGACTGTTGCTGACTGAAATAATCTGGCCTTTTGCCTTGAGACTTGGAATTGGCAATGAATCTTTGGACCCACTTACCTGGGGCAGTGCTTCTGATTTTTGCCAGTGTTAACAATTACTTAGTGCATGTCCTGCAAGGCCTGTGGCTAGAGGGCTCTGCTGGTTTCGGGGCATATTGAAATGAGCAAAGAAATACAAGGAGCTCACTTCTCTTGCAAACATGACTTAAAGATGTCTCTGTCACTCAAATTACTGGTGTCCTGGGAAATGCTTTCTACTAACAGGTTGCAGATCTTCCTTAAGTATAATTTTATAAAACTCCCTGTCATAGGACACAGATATAAAAACCAGTAGGGCCTCTCTCATAGTTGTGATTATTATTGACTTCAGAGGGGTCCTGTAAGAAATTTCAGTTGCTAAAATGCTAAATTGTAGGAAAGCTACCTTCTAATAATAAAAAAGTATAAAACAGAATGACAACTCCATGTGAGAAGCAGAGAGTGAGGAAACAAAGGAGTTATGCAAGATCCAGAAGAAAGGTTTTATCCATCCCAGGTTGTTCAGAGTAGTTTTAGATTTCTAGTTGTTCCTTCATCATGTTATTGAGTTCCAGGTATACATCTCTGAGATAGGAAAGAAGAGAGTAGAGTAAGAACAAGGATGTTCCACCAAAACAAAAAAAAATTATGCCATCCTTAGTAATTTTGTTTGGTGACTTTAAAGGATACAAAAGACCGAACAAAAGCACTTTGTTAGCTGATCAAACATAAGCTTAGTTTATGAATGGTGTCTTTCTAATGCATATAATGAAATTATTTTACAGTGCAGATTATTGATTAATACTACTCTGGAATGCTTAATTCTTCATCTTGATTTATTGTTTGTTTTCACTAATTCGCTGTAATTAAGCAGCCTTTCAGGTAACAGAATGTATATATTTCCCTAGTGGATTAAGTGTTAAATATTGCTTTCTTATTTTCTGTGAGGTTTCTTGTTGTTTAAAGCCTATGAAATTTTATGTGTTCTGCTAATCTACAAAACTTGCAAATTGACACATTCCTGCAGCAGTTCCCTAACTGCATGCCTCTTCTCATGTATGTTTAGCATATCTCACACTGTGGTACATTGCATGTGCTTGCTCCCTTTGTCTGGGGCTGCTGTCTGTATTGTTTTGTGCTTCCAGATAGCGGTGGGTGTGCTCGCAAACGTGCTGCAATGTCTGTCACATTAACAGCTGTGAAGAGAGTTCAGAGTTCTCCAAACCTATTGGCCTCAGGTATAACCACTAACCAGTGAGATCCTACTCCTGAATGGCTTTTCTGTAGTGTTGTGAATTCCTGCAATATTACTCTGCAAGGAGAAGGGTAACTGTATTTTCTGTTTTACTGACAGGTCTGTTACTTCTACAATGCTTTTTAAAAAGTAGCCTTAATTTCTCTCTACCTATGCTTAGTAGCCATTAATAAAAACACATTGAAGACTGAGGAAGAATCAGTTCATTATAAATTGATTTAGCCATTGATACATATTCTGGGTCTCATACACCCGAATTGTTTTCAAGATAACATAGCATGGAAAGTCAGTTTTGTTTATTGCAACTGGCTTTAAAGGGTGTTCTGAAAGGAAAAGAACCTTGTACAGTGTAAGATAATCCTCAGAAGACAGATTCATTTAAAAAAAAATTACAAGGCTTTCTTTCCTTAAAAATGTTTAAAACAATTAAAGCTTTCAGAATATTTATTAGACCAGCATAACTGCTTCTGAGCAAGACTCATGCCTAGTTTTGCAAAATTTGATATCAGCTGGTGAATTAAGTTATTTTAAGTATAAATCAGCAAAGAGCCTTGAGCAGTGTAGACCAATTTACACCAATCTGAACATGCAGTGTTCGCACCAAACAGGTGTAATACAGGAAGCTGAATAAAGAATGAGCCAGAAAATAATTGCAAAATAGTCTTTGTTTTGTAGATCTTTTCAATTATAAAACTGATCCCCAGGTAAAAGAACTGTTACATATTAGGAAGAAAATAAAAAATGAGGTTGCTACTCCATGTTATTGGGGTTACTGCGTGTATCTAAATTTAAGAAAACATTGTGTTCTTATTCCTTAGTAACACTTCTAACAAACTTTTATCATTTAAGTGCGCAGTACAAGCCTCTTAATGTATTGTTTTGTTGAATTTCAAATTAGTGATAAGGAAATCTATTAGTACTAGTTATTGCACATTCAAAATATGTATAATTTATTTAGAGATGCAGTAATTTTGGTTTCTTTATGAGAAAAAAACAAACAAACAAAAAAACCCCACTAACATACCTCCAAGTAATTACAAAAGAAAAACGCAACAGAATTTCAATTCTGTTCTCCGCTGGCAATATGTAGGTTTCAGTTTCCATGTTGTGCTTTGAAGTGATGAGGAAAGCATCACACATTCTGGTGTGAAAGGGGAGAGAAAATTCTGACAGAATCTGTAGGCATCTTTCTGGGTTTTTAATTAAACCTTCCCAGCTCATCTTAAAGGAACTGATTTTATATATATATATATAGATTTTAGATAGTAGTATATCACAGTATTTACGGGGGGTGGGGGAAACAAAAAGCACAGCAAAAGTTGTTTATTATTGGCTGTCTGAAATAGCAGTGATTAAATAACCATGACTCTTAGCACACTGTAAACTTCTGTAGAGCTTTAGCTATAAGCATTGCACAGTTACCTATTGTCTAACAATCTGAGGTGTGCTTAGGTAACAGGAGGAAATTAGTTAACTGAACAATAAAGATTCCTTGGTATTTTTCAGGTTGTGTCATGTCTTTATTTCTAACACAAATTAATTTTGGATGTTTCTTTTTCAGGGTCTGATTCTCAGTCTCCAGATTCAGGTAAGTAAAACACTATATTATTTATTCATCAGTGTAATACCATGTAAGTGGATCAATTATAACAATCTTCCATGTATTTTGTTCCATTGCTCCATACATCCACATTCCTTAAGGAAAGCATCACTGAAATTGTAATAATAATTGCAAGAGCTTAACACATCAAATTCAGGTCTGCTTTGAAAGCAGTATTTCCTATAACACAGTATATGTTGTCAGAAAATGAATTGTGTGGGAGAACACTTACTGCTGATTTGCCACCATTAGCCTCAGTAGCACTTGCTATTTCATTTTTATTCCTTTACTCAGGATTGCAAGTTCTGCCCACCCCCCTTAACAGCCTGCTCACGTAATGTATTACTTCTCCCAACCTCTTACAATATTTTGTCTTCAAATCTGTAACTTGCTGAGGCAGGATAGTATCTCCTTTTATGTTTGGACAATGTTTGAGGGCTTTTCACCTCACTCAAGTTGTCTTTCACGCTTGGAAATAAGCCTATTGGAACAACTAGTTGGGTATTGTGGTGAAACTGGGTGAAACTGCTATGACCAACTAACTTGAGGTGAGACAAGATGTTTCTTAAAGTCCAATGCAGCTTGAACTTGTGAAGTTCAAGAGCCTGATTCGTGAATGTACTTCAGCCTGCTATATAGAGGGGCCTGAAGATCCCCAAAGGATTCCCAAGGCTAAAATCCATAGTCTCTATGAATGTTGTGTGAAGGTATCAAACTGCTACCAGCAGTATTGTCAATGCTTGAGTTTTCTAAATTTTAAAGATAAATATTTTGTAAGGTGGTAGCTTTAGCCCTATTCTTATAACTTCCATGGTAATAACAGCAGCAATGTCCGTTCTGTAGTAGCTAATAATACAAATAAATTTGTATGGTTCTTTTTCCCTCACAAAAGCCTGGCGATCTTACAATGATGGAAGCAGAGAGACACTGAATGGAGATGCTGGCAGTTCATCTCTTACAGCAAAAGGGTTTAGGAGCGTGCGGCCCAATCTACAGGATAAAAAATCACCCACTCAGGTAAAACTGAACACACCAAGTTTCATGCTTTGGCATTTGTGTCTGGGTTATTCTTGGAGTGTAGTGTATATATAAGTGGGATACCTTTACGGAACATTGTTCTCACATCTTCCAGATAGTGCAAATCACTTGCTCATGTGGGTCGTTACAAACTGGTTTACTGCCCAGGTAAAGTACACTCCACAGAGGATGCATGCCTCCAGGTTAATTACCAGAAATTCCTTTCAATGAACAAGACAGCCAGCTAAATGAAAGTAGGTCATACAGAAATAAAAGCTTTCTAGGAGTGTTTTCAGACTTCAAAGAATATTTATTAGTGTTTTAAACATCAGTCATCAAAATATCTAAGGATAAAGGTTTATCAATTAAGGTAGATAATGTTCCTGCCTGTTTTGCAGAACAATATAATTTAAGCACACTAAAAAAAAACCTCACTTAACTTGGAAACATAATTGTCTGTCCAAGAAGCACAACATACCAACATCAATACTTTCTCTGTTACTATTTTAATTCAAAGGTTTAAGAGGCTCTGTGTATTTCGTATATGTGAGTTACCTGTGCATAATAGCTTGTTGTCTAAGATCATGGAGTACTATTTGGAAATTACTTGCACATGTGAACAATGTCACAGTAATAATTCTTATTTGGTGAAATAATTGTTCAGTTGTGTTTAAAAAAAATTATATTATGGGCTCCCTTCTGATCTTAGTTTACTCTGAGCAAATGGAACATTTGGGTCTCCAAACTTGAGCTGTACAGCCCTGCACAGCAAAAGGTGGTGGGAACCTGACAAATTAAATTGTCTATTGAATTGAGCAATGTTGAGATGTAGCCTCTTAAGTTGCTAGTTCCTTTATTAAAAGATAGAAGTCAAACTGAGTTATATCTCCTGCTAACATTTACTTTCTTTCTGTTTCTTCTTCAATGTTATTTTGCTGTGTGTGGATGCTTTTGGCAAATAAGGCACCTCTGCCACCCCCTAGGAAAGAAAGTTTTTGGAAAGCAAGAGTAACTAACCACAAGAACGAAATTAATCTTCAGGCAGTAACAGCTGACCCAGCTAAAAACCTTCCCACAGATACTGCCTATTGCACTCAAAAGAATTCTGTTCAGAAGACAATGTCTTCTCAAATATCTAACACTAGCGTGTTCTATGCACAACAAATCACTAAACCACTGACCTCAACCTCCAGTGCAGGCATGGTAGCTGGTATTAGTACTACTCTCCATCAAGGCCAAAGGCAACAGTCTCAAAAACGTAGGGTATCCACCCTGAAATTAACGCGGACACATGACCTGGCGAGTAGCATTCATTGCAATACACAGCAACAGCTCAAGCCTGTTGAAGTGCCAGAATTTCCACAAAGGCCTGTCTCACCTGCCTGTAACCCCGTGGCGGAGGTACACACAGCATCTCTTTCCATTCAGATAGCTCCTATGCCTGACAATAAAGCAGTGCCTGAAAAACAAGAACATCCACCTAGTATTTCTCCAGACACTTCAAAGATGTCTTCAAAGGATTTGGGACAAAAGTCTACAGTTCCTCCTTCTTCACAGGCTGCAGAATGCCATGTGGTATATTTAATTTTTCCATCTTTTACTTTAGATCATTTATAAATCACTTAATAACCCTCTGTTTAGTTATACTTACATTATCAAGGTTAGAACCTGTGTTTTCTGGGTAAAACTACCTGTCATATGGATCAGAAAAGAACTGAACAAAACCTGAAGTTTTTGGAAGGCTATTGAAAAAATATAATAATAATTAAAAAATTAACTCCACTAAGCTGGAAAGTAGACACTTTATGGAGTGCAAAAGCACAATGGGAAATTAGTGAACTGTAGGTAATGCATCTGCTTAAGTGGCTCCTCCTAGAGGGAGTTGCATTAAAGCATTATGCTGCCATAGCTGATGGAAGGATCAATTACAGTTAGAAAAGGCTTGGGTTGGGAGGGTTTCTAAATGCAGCTCTGGCAATTTGTTAGGGCCACCAAAAAATATGGGTTTTACTCGATGCTTTCTGCAAGGCTAGTCACTGGCTAGTAGCTGCTGTGTGTCTTGTGTAGCAATGCTTTTTAAATCAAATGGGTTGATGTAATATTTTGTCAACCACTTCTGCATAAAGCATCACAAGGCACTGAAATTTAAGACCCCTGTGTTTCTTCTATACCTATGCCTACTGAGATGAAAATTCTGTGTTAACTGTACTGATTTAATCTAGGAGAAATGGCAGTATCAAGCACACAGTATGGACCAGAGGAATCTGGGTTTATCGCCATTCAGAAAGTTACTGAGTCAAAATAAGTCTGGGAGCAATAAAGCAGCAGCAAATACATACTAGACAGAAGGAGAGCTCTGAATAAACCTTATAATTTCTACTCTGCTTTACCTTGTCTTGTTAAGATTTTTCTATTTTAAAAGTTAGTTATTCTAATACATCTACCAGTATGCCAGTTTATCTGAGACTGAAAGCCCTTCAGCTGGAGGTAGGGCTTGCTATAGGTCTCAACATATCTGCCTCAGAGCTTTGAACAAGGATCCATCCCACCATGGCATATTTTTGCTGAAATCAGTGGGGCTGCCCTGAAGTAAATATGGCACTATCTTGCAAACTTAAATTCTATTGACAGCCCTGTTGTCAACAGTAGTAATGCATCTGCTCTCTCACACTGTGGTTCTTTCAGAGCATCATATTCAACCAGTTCTTTACTCTGGAAGCCACAAGTATCCTTCTGAAGGACATTTGTCCTTCCCAAGATTAAAATCAAAACTGTCGTTTTAAACCCTCCTATTAGGCTACATAAAATTTAGAACATTTTGAGAAAAACAAATTGTTTTACCCTTGAGAAGAACCTGTTTGTTTTTCTAGTTATGTTTTTCAAGTAGGTAGAACTGGTCAGTCCAAGCAAGAGCCACAGTAAAGAAATCATGTCAGAAACAGTAATGAAGCCTGAGCAGGAGATTTATTCAGGAGCTTGCAAGCCTTTTAAGTATGAGCATCAAGAAATACAGTCAGTCAGTAGAACAACTGTAGGCACAGCCAATACAACTGATGCATCTATGTTTTCTTTTCGCTTAAAAATAGTTACTCAGCCTGTTAGCAATATGATGCATTATATATGCTCAGATAAATCAAAGTATCTCTCAAATGGAATGCAGTGTTTTGACAGCTAACAAGAATTAGTGGAAATACTTTTTTCTGATCCAGAATAATACTCAAATTCTTATCAAAATGACTAAAAATAATTTATCTTCTAGCTACTTTTTTTTAAGAATTTTAAAATTCAAACCATATTTTGAGATTTCTTTTCATTTTAGAATCTGTTTTTGTTTCACCATGAGCTGACAAAAGTTGGAAAAGTAGCTGTGACTTGTTTGTCAATTCCACATTTATTTTGCTGCCTTCTCCTTGGTTTCAGTGTGTGGGAAGAATGATCAGAAATTTGGCAACTGAGTTTCTTTGAATAAAATGATAAAAACTTCAGCTGATCACAGGGCTTATTAAGGAATGTAGCCAGCTTTTCAAATTGCATCTACTTATTCATCTCTTGCCTGTAAAATTCAGCTGACATCCTCCCTGATGTTCAACTTTGAAATAAATTCTAAACAGTAGTATGAAGAGGTGTATCTGATGTCACAATTGAGTCATGGAGCCAGTTGGTTTTCCTCGCTCTGTGTTAAAATGCCTAGAAATAGAGTACAAAATAGCATGTGAGATGGTGTAAAACTCTGTATCATGTGAGGTCACAAACCTGAGGTGCCACGAGCTACAATTAGAAATAAAGGCTACAGCTGTATGTCTAAAAATATTTCTTTTCTGGCTCAGATCTCAGGTGGAAATCTTGGAAGTGTTCTAACTAATGCCAAAATTACGATCCCCTTTAGCACAGTATTTCATGGCATTTCCAAAGTTCACAATTTCTCTCACATAGACAAACTAACTTGCAGTATGCTGTGCATGATGATGGTATTTTCATTTTTTTTAAATTTGAAAGCTCTAGAGAACTTTGTGCACTAGTTAAAAGACATTTGTACGTGCAGATCATATGTTGTTATGCCGTATCCTCTTGGGATGCTTTCAGACAGTAGATTACGCCCACAAACAATGTTAAAAGCTGCCACAGAAACTATCAAAAACCAGATACATGTAGAAAGGTGCTGTAAAACAAACAACACTCCCCCTGCATCTGTGTTTATTTGCAATGAGGAGGATGAGGTAAGATTGGCTAATCATCACTTCTTAAGAGGTGGCGAGTGAGAAATACTGTGCATGTGTAGTTATCTGTGTGTGTAGGGGACATGCACAACTATAGTATGTCACAAAGTATGGGAAAATACAGCGGAGAGCTTGTACAGTCCAAGTTCAAGCACAACAATTTTGCTGTTTTTTTTTTAATGTAGCTTGTTATGTTTATGTTCCTATTTGCCCTTCATTTCAGAGTTTATACGCTAAAACTTTAGGAGCAAGCAGAAGTGTAGTATGACTCACCAAGTGACATATTGTAAACACTCCCACTCAGAGAAGGGTTAAAGCCCTTACAAGTATATGAAAAGAGAAACATTCAAGTTACTCATATGAGGTTGTCTGGGGTTTTTTACATTATTAGTCTCAAGAGATGGCTGCTGCTCTGTGTCATACTGTAGATATGGGTGAAATCTGAAAATTGTCTTGTTGGTTTGAATTTCATTAAAGAGTGAGCATTTGGTTTGGTAATGGTGTCCTGGAGGAATAAAATCTGCTAGAAAAGAAAGTGTTTATTTTTCCAGCCTTATAGCTGCAGGTAGTATATCAAGAAAAATGAGCCTGAAATTTAAAAAAATATTTCTTTTTTGATGTATCTAATTACTGGTTGTTAAGTATCGACAATACATTATGTGATGTAGAAGAAGACAGATTTCAATGTTTTCAGGCCAGACAGCAAGCAAAGAAAATCAAGGATGTAATTTTAATTTCAAGTTCTGTATCACTGGTGTGATTTTGCACAAGAGCTGAATTCTT